CCTTTACAAAATTATATACCACTTTGAGCCAAACCAGCAGCAAATTCTCTTCCATCATTCATTTCAGCCACAGTTGGAACAGATTGTTCAAAGTGCTCTATAAAACTAAGACACTGTACAACAGATGCTTTGCTGCCACTTCCTTCTTCTAACGTGATGCAGCATAGCTCGGTAGTTTGGAATGAGATCAGAGTATCAGTAGCAATACTGACAGCTTTGCTTCTACCTGGGACAACATTACTGTTCTTTGTTTATTCCACTTACCACCTGAAACACTATACGTTCTTATGAAGGAATGGCGCTGTAACTGAGTGTTTCAGTGAATCCAGAATAAACCAGAAACCTGTAGGCTTATTCCTTCTCTCCAGGGACAATCCTGTGCTGTAAGACAACTTGCTGCATTCCCGATATTGAGCATTTAGTAAGACTGACATAAGTGAGTTCTGGTTCACCAGAGCCCCGTGAATGTCATGGTCCACACTACAATTATTCTCTGAACCTCATCATCAATACCAGGAAAACCAGCTCAGTATGGCACAGCTTGTCCATCCCAGAACCAGGTTTTAGACTTAAGACTGACAGGACTTCTCCAAACGAGAGATACTTTCCCAAAGGTTTTGTTTGTTTTAAGCCATAAAAGGTGCAATATAGCATCTCTCCTCAAACCCTGAAAAGTAAAGTGACTTGAAGATAAAAATGCCACCAAAAAGGTCTACCAACACCCAGTCTATGCTGGCACCCAGATAGGGAGTGGATGAGCTTCTGTGTTAAATACGTATTTGTCAAGGTTGATTAAGTCTATGTCGTCTGAAAACAGCAGAAACATGTATTTGAGTGTTTCCCCAAGGAAGAAGCTCTCCATCTTATCTCGTGGCTCTGGATTACTGGGATTCTGGACGTTGTTAATGGAAGTATAACCACCTGTAGGAACCTGTGCCAAAAAAAAAAAAGCAGAAATCTTGTATATTTCGATAATCTAAAATAAATTATTTTCACTTCTTAACATCCAGATGCACTTGGAGAAAATAAGTGCTAAGAAACAGATCAGCATGTTTTTCATTTCATACTTGTTTCTCATTTACATATAAAACTTCAGTTATGAAAAAAACCTCATTGCACTTCAAAAGAAACCACGAGGATAAAATGAAGCAAAATGTCCATTTATGCTTACTTTAAAGAGGTACCACAACATCCCCTTGAAGTTTCTGGACAAACGTACAGAAAGTAACTAGTGCAATTTCTGTATTAGAGTTGGCTAAAGTACCACACTTATTCTCTTAAGAACAGACCATGGATATTTAATGACCACTGGCATCTAGGCCACACTTTTACAGCATATCAGAGTGATATCTCCATGAGCACTGTAGTCAGAATGAATACAAAAAACCCTCTATTAAAGCATTAATGCCATTTTGTGGCAATTTTTTTTGGCAACTTCAACCAAAGGGTTCTTTCAATCCAGCCAGGTCCTTTTCAGCTTCCGAATTCTAAAAAAAGTTGCAGCAGAGATTCTGACAGCTTCCAAGAAGTAGAGACACTTTGGTAGTCTGCATACAGCTTCTGTATTTTACTTTTTAATCAATGTAATACAAGTTCTTTCCCTGAATGTACTAAGTAGTGTATCTCAAACTGTAAGGCACTGCATGAACTGAATTTTTCTGTGTGTTCTTACGTATTTCCCCACAGGTATTTGATGACTCCTGAAAGATGGTAGGTTTCCAAAGTTCTTGTTAGAGAGCAAGTGAGCAAATACAGTCCTGACAGAACAAGGTCATTATAAGCTGACCTTACCCGTGTGTATTTATTGAAGTTCTGCAAGATTTCCCAGCCCCAGTCTTGGTATTTCTTATCACCAGTGAATCTGTACATATAAAAAAGGCTTTCCACAGTTTCTGGTCGCAGTAAGTTGTGCCTGTCTGCAGGCTGCAAGAGAAAAAAAAGAGGCAAGAATAATTCAGACAGGGAATTTCCTCAAGGACACATACAGGAAGAAAAATAGTGATTCCCATCTCCATCTACTCCAAAGAGTTTATTATGCATAACTCAGCTTCTAAATACACTACAGGGGTAATTAAAAACAAAGGCTAGGGTACACCTAGAAGGTAAGGCAGCAAAAGAACAAGCTGCTCCACAACAGAGCACATCACCAACATCTGGCTGGGAATTTCAACAGCAGAATAGAGATACAGAAGAATCATCGAATTACAGCTCAGGCCAGCTATCTGTTCACCTTGATTTCCACATCTTTGTGGCCCTTTTGTGCATGAAGATTGAAGTGTACGATCTCCGGACTCAGGCCTGTCTCTACTTGAGCATACATCTGGTAACAGGTTTCTATAAGGGCTTCAGCCAATTTCATATGATCAGCAGTCAATCCATTGTGAGCTCCCAGTGCCAAAGTACCAGGCAAAAAGCAAACCAAGTGATCCTGCAAGACAAGACAACTCTTACTGGGGAAAAAATCACACAACAAACAGGTATGTGTGTGTGTGTGTGCGTGCGCACCTCTCTGTGTCCCCATGTCTGTGTCTTCCCCCCACCCCTCTTCTTTCTCTTCTTCAAAACACATTTCAGGTACCAAAAACTTGAGGGTAACTTTTTAACAATGTGATGTAGTGTAGCAAGAGGCAGGCAGCATTATTACAGAGACATCGCTGATTTGGAAAATGTACAAGACTGTGTTTTTATGTCAAGTTTCTGAAAAAAAGGTCTCAGGTCAGGGCAAGGGGGAAGAGAGAGTGTCTTTTGGTCTACCAGAAGTATACATTTCACACCAACTCATGAAGGGGGGTGGGCAGAATGACCTAAAGGTTTCTCAATACAGACACCTAAAGGGACAACATAAGGGACAAACTGATCATCTGAATTTAATTTTAAACTTAAAATGGAAAAGAGATGGGAGTCAGCCACAGAAAACAAAGCTTTGGAGAAGGGGGGAGAGATCAGCCGAAGGAGATTTTCATCATTCTGAAATAATCACCTTAATGTTCTTGTAAGAGAGACAACATCTGCAGAGATCATTAGATCCACTGACACAACTGGAAAACACTAATAACCATACTTCTGCCTGAAAGCTTGCCCCTTTCCTGCAACTTTGTTATTTGGGGTAATAAAAAGCTATTACCCCTCACGTCTATAGAGCACCAAAGGTGCAAGAGCACCATTTTTCTAGAGAGTCTGGGATACAGCTGGCTCCCATGCCCACCACTAACTCTCCTAGACTTACTCTCTCGTTACAGCCAGCTGAATGCCACAGATACCAGGCACCTTGAACGAAACTTCTTTGGCTCTTCGTGTATGTATGGAAGAGGGGCACCTGGGGATGATCGTGTGAAGAGCACTCCCACTTGCTTTCCCAAGACAAAGCAGCAGCAATGAAAGGACTGCAGGGACATTTCTTTCTTAGCTTTTACTTGCTACAACTATTTGTTCAAAGGACAAGAGGAGCGGTATTACTTCAAGAACTGCGCAACATTTGTAAACAATCAAGATTAATTTCGTTAACTTTCCAAGAAAGCTCAATCATCACAGACAGTTGAAGAACACATCAGAAAACAAATTGTATAAAACGCCCAGAGCTCATCTCCAGCAAAATTCAATTTGCAATACAAGACTGATTTAGCCCCTGAAGGACATCCACCACTGATACTGTGAATGTAAGAATTACAGATTAATGTCACATATGGAATTTCAAATTATTCTTACCATTCAGAACAAAAGCTCAGGTCTCATCACCCAAAAACATAGGTGCACAAGCAGCACCTGTAAGGACCTTTAAAAGCTTTGTCCAGTCCTAAAGGAAATGGTTGAGGGTGGTGAAGGTCAACATAGATGCAGGAGACAAACATCCCCCACTTTTCCAGTTGGCCAGGGTAAGATACCTGTCAAAGTTTTCACCCAATAATAATTGATTAAATACCTAAACTCTGACTCCTTGGAACAGAGCAAGTGTACCGACACAGGCAGAAACCTAAGCCAAATCTATCTGTCTGAATTCAATTCTGTCATATCTTGGGATGGGACAGCCCCCTCTACCCAAAACCCAGACTCCGGTCTCACTCACAGCAGGTTTGGCGAGCCTTTGGGAAAAATTCAGATGCAAAAAGCGCACGCTGAAAAACAGAACTGAGCATCTCAAAACCACTACATCAAGAAACCAAACAAGTCAAAGAATTCAGTAAAGCTCACTTCAGGTATTGAAAAAGTATGTTTAAGGCTATGCATAAATTAATAATACACCACTCATCTTAAAAAAAAAAAAGCCACACACACACACAATACCTGTACTTGCATGAGATCTTTAACTGAAAGATCTTAAAATGCATTTTAAACAGTATGGATGCACAAATTAAGAGCAGGGAGT